GTAGTATACAAAACCCAGCACCAACTTTTTGTGAAAGTCGCAGTACCTGTTCGGGTCTCGAGGATACTTTCTGTTTTATCTGGGTTGTGCCTACTCGGGCTTCGTGGAGTATAGGTTTCGTATGCTTCATGTCGGTATGGCTGGTAACGATCATTCCGCCTTCTCCCCTCGCTCTGGTATGGCCTTTTCTTGTAGTGGCGGGGTAGTTCGTTTGGCTGGGACGAGTATGTTGTATTTCACTCTTCCTTTTTTGCTTTTCCCGCCCTGACCTTTCCTTCCGTTCTTCCTTTTTCGGCGCTTTTAGCCTCTTGTCTCAGGAACCGATTGAATTTTCGTATCATTTCTTCTGTATTAGCCCACTCTCGTCCTACCAGCTTTCGAAACAACTCCCCTTCTAGAAGCCCATGGGTGAACGTCGTTATGATCATAAGGTCATTTCGGGTTGGCATCTTTCTACTAATCTCATTAAATCTTTTAAAATATGCTTTGTTCGATTCTCCCTCGCGCTGTGGACAGGCAAATGTTGCATGTGCCTGTTGTTGGAACCTTCGTTGTTGTATGAAGTTGTTACAGAATTTTTGACATAACTCTTTGAAGCTCCCAATACTTCGAGGTGGCAAGCTGGCAAGCCAATATCGAGCAGATCCATCCAAGGTTCCTGCGAAGTATAAGCTCCATAATTTTTGGTCCATCAGTATCATCTTTATCGCCCATTGGAAATTAGATATATGATCGTCTGGGTCTCCAGTACCATCGTAAGGCGGCACCCTTGGCCCTTTCAATCCTTTGGGGATAGGCGTTTCGTTGATGTCATCTATAAAAGGAGAGCGAAAGTTCAGACTCTTCAATGCTTGGTTGTATTGTTTTGCCTCTATTACTTTGGGTAGCTTCTCTCGTTTTCTATAAGCGTTTTCTACGTCGGGTAATCGATCTGCATCCTTCTCGTCCTTGCTTGATCTTTTTTCGCAAGGGTCTGACTCCTTTTCTTCTTCGCTGGAATCTTCCGTTTGTTCTGTGTGGACCGAAACTCGATCCCATTCCTTCTCTTTCTGGAGTCGTTTTTCACTTTGTAACTTTCTCATGGCTCTAAAACTTTTGAAATGCTTCAAATTCGTCTAACTCCACCTCTTCTGCCGTTTTGCCTTGTAGGTTCGTTCTCTTGTCGTTGACAAACTTTCCAGCGACTGTGTTCTGATGTCTTACCACAGTAGTGACATGTGGGGTTACTTCTGGGCCCTCTAGGTTTTGTATTCTTGCGACGATACTTGCTTCTCCCGCCTGTGCGCTTGTGCCGACTGTTTGTTGCAGAGTCCCAAGGATTGCGCCACTTGATGTGTCATCAGGTCCTTCTTCCATCCTTCACTTTAGGATCCGATTTCCACGAGGAACAAGATTGGCCTGAAGACTACAAACAAACTGTACGCAATCGCCCAGGGAATGATCCTGTCTGATTCCCCAACGGTTAAGTTAGCGAAAGGTTATATATTCGATGGATTATACACGAGAGTCGGAAGTAGATTATGTGTACTTACCTTCTTGTGGTGTCGATACATCTATTTATAGGGGTATGGGAGGTGGCAAGCTCTTCTTAGATCGTCCTTGACATGCCATCTTATCGCATTTATGGTGTAACGCCCGAATGTACGATCATTCGTACTATTCATACCGTTATACAGCTGTCTTGTGGCTGTACCAGGACCTCTCGACCACGTATCCTCGTACAGGCTGTATCTCATAGTTTCGAGACATTGCATTTACTGTTTAGACGTCACCTTGTACCTTCTCTTCGTTCTTTCTTCTCCTCAAAATTCGTTATGCCAGTTCGGTTTTTAGTGGCTCGGGTGTCTTTGAACATGCCAGTTCGGGATGTCCAGGAAAGGATAGAGGTATTTCCGGGTCATACCTCATTAGAAAACAAAACCAGAAAATCTGACAAGTGGATGTGTTCATGAAGATGTTAATGTTATTAACTATGTGTGTTTTGTGTTCGTAAATATGTTCTTAAGTGTTCGAGAGAGAGAGAGAGAGAGAGAGAGAGAGAGAGAGAGAGAGAGAGAGAGAGAGAGAGAGAGAGAG